GTTGTACACAAACATTAACGCAGCAAAAGTGGCGAAATGCCTCGTTCTACCTTATAACAGATATATACTCTTGATAGTGTACTTATAAATATCTGGAAACCTGATTTTGTATAAACTCAAAACAATTATCTGATGAAAGCTTTGCAACATTTCTTTCAAGAATTTCTTCTGATGTTTTAGTTTTTTGAATATCTTTTAAAAATTTAGAATGGTTTGATAGAGCATTGGAATGTTTACTGTTAACGTGACGAGTGAGACCATAAGAGCTGAAACATTTTTTGTTACAAAATTAACAGAAAAGTGTTATTTGTGGTATGTCTGAAGAATGTTGTTTTTTAGCAGCATCATTTAACATATCTTGGTCAAAAATTGTAAAAATGAAATTAAGTTCGTCTTGATGCAACTCAATTATTGGCTCAAAATGATTTAAATCTTCTGGCGCTACTGCAGCTTCTCCCCTTTTTTTATTGTTGATTATTATAGAGAATTTTATGCTGATTAAGAATCGTATAAAACATGGGTCAATAAAAAGTGCTTTAATTCGATGTTGACGTTTAATATATTACACTAAAAAAAAAAATTATTCGCCATTTTTTAATACTCGGTTATAATTAAAATCCTTTACAAAGATGACTTCAAAAAAGCCTGGTTTCTTTCAACAATGTAAAGCAAATTTGTTTAAAAATGCATCGCGTATCATTTTCTGATTGATCTTTGGCCTAAACGTGCTATTTATGAAAACAAACTGAGTGCTATTTATGAAAACAAACTGAGTTCTATTTTGGAGGTATGAAGTGGGATGCCTCTGATTCCGTAGTATGCCATTTTAGTGGGATGCCTCTGAATCCATAGTATTCTAATTTTGTGAGAAGGATGGAGTAATCCTCAGTATCAAAAGCTTTTTACAAATCTATAAACACCCCACATCATGCAAAGTGCTATAGGTTCTATAAGTATGTTCCTTGAATGAATCGGAGATACTTGATGATAGATTAAAAGCTTCATAAGTTTTCAATATAAATAAAATAGAGCAATATAATGCTAAATCATTAAAAAATTTTGAAATTTCAATTTTTTCAAAAATGGAGAGCAACATAATTTTGACGTCGCGATATGTGAAAAAACAGTTTACATATAATAGAGGCTTTTCCCATACTGATTTATACAAAAAGTAGCAAAATAAAAAACCTACCGAGTCGTTTGCAATATATATAAATTCAACATTTTTTAGATCATTTTATTGATCATTAAATAGCAATGTTTAATAAAAAAATGGCAATTAGATTTGTTTAATAAAAAATGTTTAATAAAAAAATGGCACTTAGATTTGTACAATGTAAATGTGAAAATGATGACAACATTTTGAAATTATATAATATAAAATATAATGAAATTTAGATAAAAGATAAAAAGTTATTATGATAAAAGTTTTAAAAGATCATATTATATATTTTATAGATCAGTTTAAATATTTTAGAAATTTATGTTGATATCAAAAATATTTACATGGAAAAATCACCACATTTTCACTATATGTAACAAATTTTTTTGATATACGTTTACGTTGTGTTAATTAGTAAAAACAAATACGAATCTAGAACTTTTAGACCAGTCAGTCGTCAAATTTTAAAAAAACAATTACTTTTTTTTTAAATATTCAACAACAAAAAAATAATGAAGAAGTGTTAAAATGCTTACAACCGCTAGAATGTTTAAGAAACATTTAAACAAAAATTTTAGAATAAAAAAGTAATATAAAATTTCATAATTAACATAATCACAAGGTAAACTTTTAAATCATCACTTAAATTTCATTGATATAAATATGTTTTTATTTGGTTGAGCTTACTTTAAGAGAAACATTTAAAGTCGGATAAATTAAAATCCCTGAACAGTAGTAACTGTTTTGATTCATTCTTAAATTGCTCTAATGTAGTCTTGTTTTTATTGACAATATGTAAGAATTTTTTCCCCAGATAAGGTCTGCGGTATTTAATTGACTAGGAGGTTTTGAAGAAAATGTGAAAATCTGTTGAATAATGTTGAAAAATGTGAAACGTGTTGAAAAATGTTGAATACTTATGATTAATTTGATTAAATGAGGTTTGAAAATTTTTTGGGGATAATTCCATTTTTTTTGGGGGATAATTTCATTTTTTTAAACAAAAAAATAAAATTTGGTGTAAATTGAGTTTACACACAATTAAAGCACCGAGCGCACGTAAAAATGGTTCGCAAGAAGTATTCCAAGCAGTTACCTCATTATTATAAATAAACTCTAAGCCGTAACAAAGGGCTCCAAATGTGGCCTCAACAATGCATACCAAAACTACGAACAGAGACACCACCCATGCGCAACATGGCACTGTTAGTACTCTGATATTTTCCAGCTGTTGATGGAATCACCATCTCTGAAAGCTACCACAGTTCAGGAAATCTGACTACCAGCCGGCCTAAAGAACCATAAAATTGAGTTTTAGACTTTGACCATCATTAGGAGATTATAGAATGAGTTGCCTCATCATAAAAACAAAAGCAAAACCCATGCATTGAGTCAAGAAGATCCAGCATTCAAAATCCTAAACTGGAAACAACGTATTATAAATACATCTTTGTCAGCCTAATAGATAAAGAAGGATTGCGAGACTGGTTAACAGTTAGAATCTATTTACTCCTTAAATCTTTGCCTAGGGGGCCTTCTACCAATGACGGATCCAGGAATTTTTGGTGGAAAGAATGTTAAAATTTTTTTGTATTTTGAGTCTCCCAAAAAAAAAATAATTTCAGAATCTGAAAGACCTAAGAAGATATATATATATATATATATATATATATATATATATATATATATATATATATATATATATATATATATATATATATATATATATATATATATATATATATATATATATATATATATATATATATAGCATTCTTTGTTTCATTAACAAATGTAAAATGAGTTCATGTCAACTTCTTTTTCATAACCTATATATAATAAAAAATTTTAATGCAAACGGAATTAATAACCATTTTTAAAACAGTTAAAAGACGTCATTTTTTCCATAGACAATATACTTATGTACTTATGTTATTAACTTCACAGTCATTCTTGACGAAAAGACCTCTAGGTTTTCTGTGAATAACCTACATTCTTGAATTTATAAAGTTAAACGTTTTAAACTATTTTTACAGATGTTATAACATCTGTAAACAATCTATATTATGCAGTATGTATATTCGACATATATACTCTATATTTAACAGACAGCTGTATACAGCTATCTGTCAAATGAAAAAATATAACAGTTTTCATCTGCATAATAGTACATATGAATAAAATATAATAACACAATAGGGTGGACAAAAATTACAAACCATTTCTGCATAGATTTTGAGCAATCACCCAGAAAAATATTTTTTACCAAAGGAATTAGAAAGCTGTTATAGTAATTAAAATATAAAATTTTTTTGGTCTCGTTATATTTATGGGTATTATTCATAAACTAAGTTAAATATTTTATCTAGCTATATTAACGAGTATTATTCATAGAACTGATTATCTTTATTGTACACCAATCTTTTCAAAAACTATGTCTTAGGATTATTTTAAGGTTAACTTCAATTTTTTGTTTTCAAAAAAAAAAGCCAACCATAATCTTAAAGATTTTGAAAGAGATTTCAAAAGATTTTGAAAGAGATTTCCAATAACATTAGGTTGGAACCCAAACCACAGTTTGGGTTCCAACCTAATGTTATTGGAAGATCAATTACGTTTATTATTATTATTATTATTTATTATTTTTTTTTTTGATTGATACTATAAATGTCTTATTATAATTATAAAAATATTAAAAATGATTTGTTAATCTATTTTTTATTTAAGATTAAATTAAAAAGTTATCTTTTCTTATGTACTTTAAGATGGAAAACCTTTGGACACATGACCGAGGTAAATAATAGATTTGATTTTATTGTTTAAATAATCTGCAAGCTGTTCTCTAACAAAAAAAAACAAAAAACAAGTTCTCATATATGTAATTCTGACAAATATAGTCTTAGAATCGTTTATGGTACAAAAATAAGCCTTTTGACTTTTTTCGCTGGCAAATTTCCGTTCCGCTTTTTAACACCATCCAGAAAGGAATAAGAAAGCTGATTTTTTATTTACTTTTAAAGAACAAACATGTATTTATATTTCTACCTGCAATAAAATAATGTAATTGATTTGTAAATAAATGAACTTATTATAGTATAGATAAGCGGGAGGTTAATAAGAATTCGACTAAAGTTACAATGTGGCGATTGTATTAAAAATGTGTATTTTTGCCACGGCGTTGTTTTGTATTGACCCCTGATATTAATAGTTTAATTTATGACTAAAGATTAGAAAGAATTTTAAATGAAAACATTTTGGGTAAGAGTTATCATTTAAAAACTCAACAACCATATACGAAACATCTGCATATAGGAAACATCCTAAAACATCTGCAAAAAAAATTGCACATATTTTATTTGCATTTTTTTGTTATTGGTTAAAGGAGTAAAGCAATCAGTCCGTCTCCAAACAGTCATGTGTGAAAAAACAAACATGTTAAAGTCTTATGAAAACGAAAATGTTTTCATAAACTTTACGACTTTACTAATTTTATAGTTTTTAAAATAACTAACTTAACAACTACATGCAACTTTAAGAGTAAAAGTACATAGAAATATTCTCTTAATACTGGGTTTAAATATTTAATTTGGTGGGCTCTTGCGAACAAAAGTTTTTTTTACAAAGATTTTTTTAAGTTTTATTCAACGACTTTCTAGTGATATATTTGTTTTCTCATGTCTCAAATTAAGAAATTTGGAAATATATTAAAATTTTCATAATAAGCAAATTTTGATTTGTTCAAGACCAGTTTTAACATTTTTTTTGGTAGTTGTACTTTTCAACAAAAACAAATTTAATGACATAAATAACTAAAACAAATAAAATACAAAATGTTTTTAGTGCGCAGCACTTAACTGTCATTTAAAGATAAATTTGTCTTTTTTAAAAAGATAAGTTTATTCTCTGAAATAGGTGTCGTTATTTGTGCAATTTACTCAATATTTATTTACTTATTAGTTATTTCTATTTAATAAATAAGTCGTAATATTTTAATTTCTGAAATTTTAATCCGAATTTTCATTGATGGAAGAATATTCTTCACTAGGTTTATCAACAGCAGCCTCTTCAAACTCATTGTTTTCAAATACTTCAACGGTAACAACTTTGTTTTCTAAAATTTCATTGGGATTTTTAGAGTCCATCGTTTTGTTCTCATCAGCGTCGCTTTCACTGTCGCACGGAGATACGTCGAGAAACTTTCCACCATCTTCTGCTTCCTCAACATCTTCCCTTAAATCTGGCATCGGACCAATTTGGTTGGCCTTGATTATTGGATCTTCTCTCTTTAAAATGCAATATAAAATGACAATTGAAAATCCTTGTAATAAGTTACATAAAGAAAACAAATATTGCCAACTAAATAATTTGGTTTGTATTGCAAGAGCACCAAATATTGTTGTAAGCAGCATAAAGAGGGTAGTAAAAGCCGTTTTCATGCATTTTTCCTGCAATATTATTCCATTAGCTACTTGGTTTGATTCCAACATCACATCCACTAACAAAAGAAGCGTAACTGCAGCGATTGTAATTATAACACTAGAAAATCCCCATACGCTAGTTCCTTCAAACAAATACCAACATAGAATTTCACTGGTTTGTAATTTTAAATATAAACCACTTATTGTCAGTGTCACTCCTAACGGAACAAAGTTACCAACAAAAAGATATATTTTATAAGAATTGTATTTCTCTGAATCAAATATTTCTTGCACACGAGTTTGCAAAAATAAAGTGTAAACATACAACCAAAAAAACACTGCTTGCAAAAAGTAGTAAAAAAGAAAAACCAAAATGTGGCATTTTATAGTTTTTCCTGAAACGTTAAAATTTATAACTAAAAAAAAAATTTCGGCCAAAAATGCATTTACCATAATGTGTAGCTGAATAACTCTACCGGAATCGAACTCTTTCATGCGAATAGCATCATATGCAGAAGCGCCCCACTGGTCTTTTAAAAATAAGTAAACTGTTGCAAGTAATAAACTCAAAGTAACTAAAAGACATGAGTAGAAACAGTTTAAGCCAAGCGCAAATAACTTATTTTTAATTTTAGGATCATAAACTGTAGCACGTCCAACAACGGCTACTATACCCCAGGTTTGGCATTCACACACGGTATGCGTTTTGTTTGTCTTAACCTTTATGCATATATTTTCCAAATAAGTAGTTGCAGCAGAGTCAAGACTCCAATATATGCATTTTTTATCGTTTCTATCATCTCTGAAATGTTCAAATGTATAAATAATAGGATTTGGACGGGATATATTGCAGTTTGGATACTGATAACATACAATGAGTTTTGAAACTGGAACAAAGTCATTTTTATTGTCGAGGTTTAAATTAACTTGTTTTGTATAATACTTTAGATCAGGAAGAGTAGCCAATTGGTTGTAAATTAAACATGCCAAAGAGACACGTGGAGACAACATACCCCACTTGGCAAGAAATCCAGAATACTGGTATGTGCTGTCACTAATAAAATTGACTGTGATTTTACTTCCCGAACGAACAGGCAAAAAATGGGTAGTGTTTTTGTTTCCGCAGTACCTTTTTAATTCTTTTTCATTTTCATCTTTTACAGAAACATAATCATAATAGCATCCTTTACTGTATTCAATATCAAACTGATCTTCAATAAAGTTAACATAAACGCTAAATGGTTCTGGGACAATAATAGTCCAGCTGCAATTAGTTTTAGGCCTATATTTATTTGTTTCTTCGTCATTTGGACTTCGAAAGATTCCTGATTGATTAAGATCACCTTGAATGGTAAAACTGCAATTATATGGCATAATTGTTGGTGATGGGGTTGTGCTGTAGTTAAAATATTGACTGGAGTTTTCTATAGAATGTATAGAGTTAATTAAATTTTTATCAAGAGCGTTAGGCACAGGAATAACCCACGAGTCTTCTGGTGTTGTTATTTGTTTTATAAGTGATATGTTAACAATGTCTGTAAATGTTGAAAATGGCGTGTTATCATAACTAGAATGGCAAAAATTAGGAAATGATACGGATACAACATCGGTACAAAGAAAGTCGTACAGTTCAACTGAAAAAAAATTGCTGACAGTTTTACTCATGAAAAAAGGCACTCTGTTTTTTTGTTTATGGAAATCGTAGGTCTTTTTTAAAAAGTAATAAATTGTACGTAATCTCTGCGCATGGTAGTCTAGAGAGAAGCGATAGTTACCAATTGTATTATCTTTTAAGTTGTTGAGAAGAAAATCAAATATTTTTCGTTCATAATAACTTTCGTTAAATGGTTGCTGAATAACCGGCATAACATTAGGGCATATACAATAAAATGATCCATGTGTATTAAAACAGCGTTCACCTTGCTTACATCCACAGCGTTCACCTTGCTTACATCCTTCCTTACTACATTCATCAATGTCAACACAACTTAGACCATTTTGTTGAAAACCATTAAGGCATTTGCATTCAAAGCTACCCCATGTATTGGAACATTTCGAATTGTCGGGGCAAGGTAAATTTAAACATTCATTGATATCGTAACATTCAAAACCATTACCTAAATTTTAAAATTTAAAATTTTTAAATTTTAAAATTGTTAAACAGTTTTAAGCTTATTCAATAAGTATAAATAGATAAAAAATAAATTTTATGTCAAACTATATTATAAATTAAATGAAAAATAAATTGATCGAATGTCAAATAGATAATTTAATTGAATGGAAAGAAAATTAAATGCAACATGATAATTTATCGGAAAGTGAATTAACGACTTAAATGTAAAAAACATTTTAAATTTCTAAATAAATAAATGGCAAATTAATAAAAATCCTTAATAACAACTTTAATGGAAAATTAAAAAAAATCAAATAAAAAAATTAAATAGCAAATAAACATAAAATATTTATTATTACTTAAAAGTTGTTAAAGAACACACAATCACAAACACACACGCACACTTTGCTACGTTTTTACATTTAAAAATTAGATATTTTTATTTTCCGCTTTCCCATAATGTTTGGTATAAATTTTATCTATTTTTAAAAGTAACATGTAGCCAAAAAATAGATCTTGGACGCCATTATAGACTTCAGATAATAACTCCACTCCATTTTTGGCTATTTTCTAATATATATATATATATATATATATATATATATATATATATATATATATATATATATATATATATATATATATATATATATATATATATAAGGGAGGTAGGGGCATAACCGCAAATGAAGGCACAACCGTTTTTTAACATTTACCTTTGAAAAATAATATCTAATATGACAAAAAATATACCTCGCGTTAGTAAAACAGTTTCCTTCATTTCGCTTATGTCAAAAAGAGTGCCTGTTACGTTTCTGAGAAGTTGTGCATAATAATGTTTGTTTTGAAAAAAATATTATATTTACACCATATTTTTCTAGACCTTTTTTTTGAGGTTTAAGCAATATTTGATTTTAGTGTTGAAGATATATGTTATCAGCATTATTTCATTAAGTGAAAACCATTTTTGATTTCAACATAATCTAATAAGCAAGCTATGAAACTCTATTATTTCTAAAAACTGTTCTCTAGGGCAGAACCGCATAGATGCACAGGAGGCACAACTGCATACTTTTAATATTTATCAAAGTTAGTTTATTACGAATAACAAAAATTACAATTGTCACACTTGAATGCGTTCATATAAAAACTTGAATAGAAATAGTTTTGTTTTGAGATGTTGGAAATTAGATTTCGTATTTTTTTAATTATTTTTTATAAATGAGTTTTTGAATAAATTATAAAGCTAAAAGTATATCGAATGAGAAAACTGTAAGTACAAAGTATTGTAAGTACAAAGAATGCATACACAGTATGCAAGCGTGCAAAAAAATCAGCAAATAATCTGAGCTGTGACAATTGTAATGAAAATGTACCAAGAAAAGTGTACCTCAACGATTTTTGTGAGGGTGCGGTTGTGCCTCAAAATGGGGGCAAAACCGTTTTTTTCACTAAGTGTAATTTTAGTCTAATAACATTTTTAAAAAATTACCTAATTTTTTTCTTAATTGCATCAAATTAAAACTTAATGATGTGGTTATTGAAATAAACTGAAAAAAAAAAAAACATTTCGTTTTTATTTTCATACAACATTAATCCACGTTACGGGAGCGGTTATGCCCCCACTTCCTCTCATATATATATATATATATATATATATATATATATATATATATATATATATATATATATATATATATATATATATATATATATATATATATATATATATATATATATATATATATATATATATATGATATATATATATATATATATATATATATATATATATATATATATATATATATATATATATATATATATACATACATATATATATATATATATATAGTTCGTGAAAATATCAATAAAGTTTTACGTATTAAGTTCCTAAAATATACGTTATATAAGTTTTATACATATTACAAGTTTTGTACATACTATAACATATTACAGTTCATAAAATATATAAGTTATAAGATGCGTACACACGTGTTAACAAATCGATATATAAATGCTTTTAATAAATACAAAAGAATGTTTTTATTATTTAAATCTAATAAGTATCGTTTAACTGCTCTTTTAAATAGTTCAATTTAAGTCATGTTTTTCATGTCTCTATTAGGGAAATAGTTCCACAAACGTGGTCTTCGACATGTAATTGAGAAGTCTGTTTTTCTAAGGGATATTGTAGGGATGAGAAAGTTGCTAATTGAATGTCTTGTAGAGTATTAATTTTTTTTAAAGAAGATGAATAATTACTTGCCCACGCTATATTGCAATAACTAATGTGACTGAAAATTTCCACTAAATGGATATGATTTTTCCAGTTTAAATGATTGTCAAATATTATACCTAGGATTTTCATTGAATGAACTCTTTTTACTTTAATGTTGTTTATAAATAAATCAGGAAGTTTTAGGGGTATGTTATCAGTTTTCGAAGGTTTCGTGAACAAAATGTATTTAGTTTTATCAATGTTTAAGGACAGTTTATTGGCTTTAAACCATTCATTGAGATTATTTAGCTCCGTGTTTATACGTTCGAGAACCTTTGAAAAACAGGAGAGAATTGAGATGGGTCTGTAGTTTGATTCTAAAATAATTCCATTTTTATAAATTGGAATTATTTTAGCAAGTTTTAATTGATCAGGAAAGCCCTCGTGTATATATATATATATATATATATATATATATATATATATATATATATATATATATATATATATATATATATATATATATGTATATATATATATATATATATATATATATATATATATATATTAGTGATAATTATGCACTTCTGATTTATATTAGAAAATTGGCCAAAATTGGAGTGGAGCTTTATCAGAAGATCAAGATGGCATAAAAATTATAATTTGTAACATCTGAGCATTAGATCGCTTAGAAGCCTATTTCTTGTGTCTAGTATTTTGTTTGTGAGGTCAAAAAAATTCATTTCCGACATTTTAAGTTTTATGGAAAATAAAAATGATCGTCAGAGTCCAAGATGGCGGCTAAAACGCCGTCAAAATTGAAATGCTCAATATCTCACCTTGTTGATTGCATTTAAGTACAATATTTGTAATATTTAAGCAATCTAATCCAGAATATGAACTACACATTAATGAGTATTTAAATACATTAACTAAAAACAATTAAAATAATTATTAAAAGCTTTTAATAATTATTTTAATTGTTTTGCTAGATAAATTTCGTTTTTAATCTTTACAAACCAACTTATATAAAAGTATATTATTTTGGTAGAAAGTTTTTTGTTTTTTAATCGCTATAATCATTAAATAACGCCATAATCGTTATATCAAACAATAAAAATACATTTATATTTCTTGCATTTACAATTCCTAATGCATCCAGTTTTTCAGTTACAGCTAACAAGATGTAACAAATTTTGTTACATCTTGGAACTGGCGGTTGAAGGTTTGATGTTTGCAAGAGATTTGATCCTATCATTTTCCAACCCCATTTCAGTGGATCCAAATTATGACCACGTCAATGCTGTACTTGATGGTATACCCAGAATGAATGCTGCTTTGCTACAGATATTATTGAAGGTAATACAGCTATATTGAAGGTTTTGTGAGCTGGTTTTGATTTATTCACTGGTAAGATACTCATAACAACGAAATTTATCAAGCAAAATTGACTTGCTTTTCGATCCATATAATGCTAGGAAAAATTCTTCTCCGTCATGAGCAATTTTATTGTGTTGTTAGAATTAAACAACTTGGAGGCTTTCTTTTTGCCTTGACGGTAAGGAAATGATGTTATAATCATCCAGACATTGCATGTAAAAACAACAACTGCATAGAGTAGTTGCATTCTCTCAGCTTGATTGCTCTGTAAACGTTGTCTTGCTTAGTATCTTTTCCAGACTTCATTATAAAAATATTAGTAGTTGAATTTGATAGAGCCATGAGTAATACTAGCAGAAATGTGTCTTCTCCAATAATAACATGTTTTATGAACATATGTCTTGACAAACCAATTGCTGTATTGACATTTAGTGCATCTCCTGGTGCCTGTTTAACATAAATTCTAGAAAGTGAAAGGTGAATTGAAAATGCTTTTATGAATCTGGTTTTGTTGCGAGGGTTTGAAAGAAAATTTGCCTGAGTTGAATTAAATGTTATTGATTTGTTAACGATAACATCTGCTGATACAGCTTTGAACTGGCGTTGTCTGTTTTCTTCTGATTTGTTATTAGGAAGACTATCAAAATAGCCATCAAAAGCAACCAAATAGTTTTTTTCCATATTGACGTAGCACATATGATACATAACATTTATATACATTGTTAGATGTCGCCGGTCTCATCCATACAATTCGGTGAAGTAGATATTCTCCATCAATGACAATTTTTGAGATTTTAGAATTATTTAGATTGCGAATTTAGAATTTTTTTTTTCCATATCCATTTTTTTATTAAATTGTTTTTTTCAAAAAATGGATATAAAATAAAATAATTTTAATATCCACTTTTTGAAAAAAATCGCGAGTTGTTTTTTTGTCACATAGAACAATTGATTCTATTTCATTTCATAGAACTGCTTTTGAACTTTTTCGGATTAAAAACGACTCATCAAAAAGTGCTCAAACCCTCGGTGCCAATTTGTACTCAAAATGTGCTTCAAGTTCTTCATCTAGTTTCGTTGTATATTTTATACGATTGAAGAGCGGCAGAGTATTAACAATTACTTTTTCTCATTAAAGCTTCACAGAAGCCATCATAGAAACCAAGTACCTATCCGTTGTAAGTGAATATCGGTACAATTCATTTCAATCATTTTATTCATTGCATTTATGCCAGCCTCAACTGCTCTATTACAGTTAATTTTATCTTCGCCTACTATACTGTTGGAAAGAGAGATCAGCTCAGATGGGGCTGCACAAAATGGTTAATGGTCTTTATCCATCCAATAAAGACGTTGGTATCGCGAATGCCACGCGCTTGCCTTGATTCGCGCAATTCAAAGTG